GTTAGGAAATTAATTTTAAGTTGCTTTTAAAGAAGTGTATTTTTGAGTTTTAAAAAAATTGTGGACTTAACTATTTATTAGTAAGATTAAAAATGAACTTATCCTTAAATAAGTTTTCTTAACGGATTAAACTCATTATAATTCACTTAAGGAGGACTTAGCCACAATTCTCACTTGTCTTTATAGGCATATATTGCCACCAAAATTTCAAAGTTTCAATGGTCAACTTTTATTCACACAATTGGGTGGAAGAGCAAATGGGTGAACTTTTGGGCCGGATTTTAACAGGATTTTGCGAGCAAACTCATAGGCTGGGTTCGGATTTGAGGGCAAGTCTAAGTCTTCTCGAAGGATATTAGGCTCAACTTAGGCTGGACAACTATCGAATGTTGGACTTATTTTTTTTTGAGAAATTAGACCCATGAGCCAACTCGACCGTGAACAACCCTAAGGAGAAAGCTGAGGCATTACTGGCTAGCAACAAATGTGTGAATGTTACAACGGGAGCATTTTTGTACTAACTAAAAAAATAATAATATTAGTTTGGACTAAAGAACAAAAAAAAATTGTTGGGTTAGATCCAATGACTTAAAAAATTTATGCCTGTTCGTCTCTGTTTTCAAGAAATTTGGAATCAAAAAAGGCCAAAAATTTGAAAACACCTTTACCATGTTTTTCCTTTTTCATTTGCATAAAAGTTTTGGATTAATTACAAATTATACCCTAAATGATCATTCAAATTTTAATTTATACATTTAAAGATAAAAAATTTTAATTTACACCCTCAAAGATAAAAATTTGTATCAATGTGCACCCTCAAAGATAAAAAATCTCAATTTGCATCCTTAAATATAAAAATTTGTATCAATGTGCACCTAAAACTAAATTGATAAATTATACGTAAATTCCCTCATTCTTGTCACTTAATCATTTGAACTCCTTCACATTTAGAATATTATTCCTACATCTCATGACGTACAATTTATCAATTTAATTTTAGGTGCACATTGATACAAATTTTTATCTTTGAGAGTGTAAATTAAAATTTTTTATCTTTAAGGGTGTACATTGATATAAATTTCTATTTTTGAGGGTATAAATTAAAATTTTTTATTTTTAAGGGTGTACATTGATATAAATTTTTATTTTTGAGAGTATAAATTAAAATTTTTTATTTTTAAGTATCTAAATTAAGATTTGAAATATCTTTCAACCTGCAACTTGCAATTAACCCAAAAGTTTTTGCAGAACAACGAAAACACTTTTTTGGATTATTTAAGAAACGCGTTTCTCTCTCTTCTTTTTTTTTTTTTTTTTTTGGGGCACTGTTTTTCTCTCTTCCATTGAATGCCTGCCTACCAGTCCTCTCTCTCCTCTTTTAACACCAATCCGTCAACTCTCCTCATTTCAATACCAACCAGTCCTAATTACAACGGCGTCTTCTTACCTTCTCCGGTCTTCGGTCGACGACTAGCAGGGATATTTCATTAACGTTGACATATTCGTATTGAAATATTTGTCGGATACGTATCGAATACACTTTTTACTTATTCGATAATAATTAAATATTAAAATTTTTCATATATATTTTTGTAATATAGCAACTTATATAATTTTTTAGTTAAACTTTTAAAATCTTTTTTCGAATTCACATACCATACAATATATTAACAAAAATTTCATATTACTTCAAAAACACATGAGTGTTTTTTAAATATTATTTACAATTAAATGTCAAAAGACCATGTAGTAAAACTATTACGTTATAATCTTAACACAAATTACTTCTCAATAATAGGTAAATATTAGTTTTGATTTCTTCAATTAGTCACTTCACTTTGTGAATATACCACAACGACACGATATATATTTTCTTTAAACTAAAAATTACTACTAAATTTTTTTATTATATGATAAAGAACTACCAAAATATATAAGTGTTAAGTAGGTTGAAAATAATAAAAATATTAAATATATTTTATTATAAGTGTATCCTGGCCGTACCCATATCATGGTTTTTTTTCAAATTTTGTTATATCGCCGTATCCGTGTTTGATCGACGACAACTATCTACTTTTGTCGGATTCAAGCTCTGAAGAGGTAGTTGGGCATCGGCTCTCAATTTTTTGTTGGACTTGTAACCATAGACATGGTTTGTAAAATTAACATTATTTTAGAATTAAAATTAATGATACTAAAAATAAGATCGACTTAAATAAACATTGAACAAAATAATATTAAAACATAAAAATATTTAATTTAAATGAACGTATAACGCATGATCGAAATGAATGGTAAAAATGGATCATATAATCGACCTCAAATGATTGAGACATAAGGTTTAGTTTGATTTGTGTTACTCTTAAAAATTAGTCAATTCAATTAAAATCTCACATTTTAAATATTTTATATGTTAGTCCAAACATATTTTATTTTTTTCACTATAGGATGGGGATATATTTGTTAATTTTTATAAAGTGAAAAATTAGACCAATGAGCCAACTCAACCCGTGATCGACCCTATGGAGAAAGCTGAGGCATTGCTAGCGAGCAACAAATGTGTGAATGTTACAACGGGAGCATTTTTGTACTAACTAAAAAAATAATAATATTAGTTTGGACTAAAGGACAAAAAAAAATTGTTTGGTTAGATCCAATGACTTAAAAAATTTATGCCTGTTCGTCTCTGTTTTCAAGAAATTTGGAATCAAAAAAGGCCAAAAATTTGAAAACACCTTTACAATGTTTTACCTTTTTCATTTGCATAAAAGTTTTGGATTAATTACAAATTATACCCTAAATGATCGTTCGAATTTTAATTTATAACTTCAAAAATAAAAAATCTCAATTTATACTCTCAAAGATAGAAATTTGTATCAATGTGCACCCCAAAGATAAAAAATTTCAATTTACACCTTCAAAGATAGAAATTTGTATCAATGTGCACCCTCAAAGATAAAAAATCTCAATTTGCATCCTCAAATATAAAAATTTGTATTAATGTGTACTTAAAACTAAATTGATAAATTATCCATAAATCCCCTCATTCTTGTCACTTAATCATTTGAGTCCCTTCACATTTAGAATATTATTTCTACATCTTATGACGTACAATTTATCAATTTAATTTTAGGTACACATTGATATAAATTTTTATCTTTGAGGGTATAAATTAAAATTTTTTATCTTTAAAGGTGTACATTAATACAAATTTTTATATTTTAGGGTATAAATTAAAATTTTTATCTTTGGGGGTATATATTGATATAAATTTTTATCTTTGAGAGTGTAAATTAAAATTTTTAATTTTTGAGTATCTAAATTAAAATTTGAAATATCTTTCAAACTGCAACTTTCAATTAACCCAAAAGTTTTTGCAGAACAACGAAAACACTTTTTTGGATTATTTAAGAAACGCGTTTCTCTCTCTTCTTTTTTTTTTTTTGTTTGTGGCACTGTTTTTCTCTCTTCCATTGAATGCCTGCCCACCAGTCCTCTCTCTCCTCTTTTAACACCAATCGGTCAACTCTCCTCGTTTCAATACCAACCAGTCCTAATTACAACGGCGTCTTCTTACCTTCTCCGGTCTTCGGTCGACGACAAGCACGGAAATTTCGTTAAAGTGACATATTCGTAATGGAATATTTGTCGGATACGTATTGAATACACATTTTATTTATCCGATAATAATTAAATATTAGAATTTTTCATATATATTTTTGTAATATAGCAATATATAGAATTTTTTAGTTGAATTTTTAACATCTTTTTTTGAATTCACATACCATATAATATATTAGCAAAAATTTTATATTACTTCAAAGGTACATGAGTGTTTTTTAAATATTATCTACAATTAAATGTCAAAAGACCATATAGTAAAACTATTACATTATAATCTTAACAAAAATTATTTTTCAATACTAGGTAAATATTAGTTTTGATTTCTTTAATTAGTCACTTCACTTTGTGAATATACCACAACGACACGATATATATTTTCTTGAAACTAAAAATTACTATTAATTTTTTTTTATTATATGATAAAGAACTACCAAAATATATAAGTGTTAAGTAGATTGAAAATAATATAAATATTAAATATATTTTATTATAGTTGTATCTTGACCGTACCCATATTATATATATTTTTTTAAAATTTTGTTATATCGCCGTATCCTTGTTTCATCGACGAAAACAGTCTACATTTGTCGGATTCAAGCTCTGAAGAGGTAGTTAGGCATCGGCTCTCAATTTTTTGTTGGACTTGTAACCATAGACATGATTTGTAAAATTAACATTATTTTAGAATTAAAATTAATGATACTAAAAATAAGATCGACTTAAATTAACATTAAATAAAATAATACTAAAAGATATAAAAATATTTAATTTAAATGAACGTATAACGCATGATTGAAATGAATGATAAAAATGGATCATATAGTCGACCTCAAATGATTGAGACATAAAGTTTAGTTTGGTTTGTGTTACTCTTAAAAATTAGTCAATTCAATTAAAATCTCACATTTTAAATATTTTATATGTTAGTCCAAACATATTTTATTTTTTTCACTATAGGATGGTGATATATGTTAGTTTTTATAAAGTTAATAATTTGAAAACTTTTTATATTACACAATCAATCTAATCGACATTTTTATTTTCATTAATTTCTGAATTCATGTCCAAAAATGTTTTATTATTTTCTGTGTTGTACAATTGTTTATTGAATCATATAACCAAATAAGTTTTATGATATAAAAAATAACAAAATCTATTTTTTTAAAACTCTTCTAAAAAATTGTTAGTGAAATTTTTTTTTTTTTTTTTTGAGATGCAATCTAAATACTCCCATAGTTTTCAACAATTTTCACTTTTTTTATTGATTATTTGAACTCGAACCTGAATTCAACATCTTATGTTTAATGGATTCAAAATTCTATCGAAGTTAAACGGCCTTCTAGAACCTTTCCTTTGGTTCTCCACCACCTATTTTGATTGGTGGGGACTGTAAAGGTTTGACACCTTTTCCTTGGAATTCCAGCCAAATCTTGTGCCTTTAAATACAGCCACTTTTTTTAAATGTTGGGTCATCAACAAGAGGAAGAGATAGAGATACAGAGAGCAGAGAGAGATGGAACAGAATGGAACACAAATTAGACAAAGGGTGGTGCTAGTCGTAGCTCCATTCCAGGGGCACATAACTCCGATACTTCAGATAGGCTCAATCCTTCACGCCAAAGGCTTCTCCATCACAATCGCACACGCTGAATTCAACCCTCCTCATTCTTCTAATCATCCTGAATTCGTCTTCGTACCCCTATCCACCAACTTATCGGACTATGATATCCCCTCCACGTTCTTGTCAACTATGAATGTCAACTGCAAAGAACCACTCAAGACATACGTGGTCCAAACATTGGAGAAACAAGAGCCACGTGATCGAGTCTGCTGCATCATCTATGATTCAATGATGTACTTTGCAGAAGCTGTGGCCGCTGATCTCAAGATTCCAAGTATACTCTATCACAATAGCAGTGCTTCCTATGTTCTAGCTCGCCATGCCACTCCTCGCCTTCATAAACAAGGTTATATTCCCGTGCAAGGTATGTATGTATACCTCTAGTAGTGTTAAACTATCATTTGTTTTAAAAACTTAAGCTAGTAGATGGGTATAAAGATCAACTCCAACTTAACTATTCATTTTAACTGCTCAAATATATTTATTACATTTTTTATTTATAGAGAGTCGCATTTACAAGTTTTCTTTAACTATACTATCTATTTTTATTAATGATTTCAATTAACTTTTAATAATTTGATAGTGATTGCAACATAGGGAAAGAGAATTTGAAGAGGTTGAATGGCTCTCCAAATTTGAAAAACAATTTGGGTGAAATGGAAAGAGAATTTTTTTTTTTTTTTTTTTCGCTATATAAAATAGTTAAAAAATAGAGAAATGAAAAGTGGGTTGGAGTTGCTCTAAGTTATCTATAATATAACATATGACAGACTTTAATAAGTTTATTCGACTCAAGGTGTTAAGTAGATTCATTCAATAGTCACCACTATTTTTCTCAAAATTATTTATATTGATTTACGATACACTGCATAATTACCCCAAATATTTGTATTTCAACACGCTTTTCACGTATAAACTAAATTTTGAGTCAAGCATATAAATTTTTTTTGTAGAATATGAGTAGCGACATGATTTAAACACAAGTGCTCCTGCTTTGATATTATCTTAAGGCACTATCTACTATAAAAGCTTAGAACTGTTATGCAAGGTATATATATAATGAGTATTTACACTTTATAACAAATAGCATTATTGAATTGTATTGCTCTAAAGATGATGCAATTACAGAGTCTATGTCGAATGAACTGGTGCCGGAGCTTCATCCCCTCAGGTTCAAGGATCTACCCTTTCGACAAATTTCAGAAACTCTGCTAAAGTTAATTGCAAATGGCAACAATGTAAGATCTTCCGCAGCCGTTATATGCAACACCAATGACTTTCTTGAGCATTCACAACTGTCACAGCTCCAGGAAGAATGCCAAGTCCCAATCTTCTCAATAGGCCCTCTGCACAAAATGGCTCCAGCTTCCTTAACCACTAGCTTACTAAAGGAGGACACAAGTTGCCTTGCATGGCTTGACAACCAAGCTCCTAAGTCAGTTATATATGTGAGCTTGGGAAGCGTAGCAACGGTGGACAAGAAAGAGATAACTGAAACAGCTTGGGGACTGGCCAACAGTGGCCAACCATTCTTGTGGATTCTGCGTCCGGGCATGGTTCTTAACTCAGAAGATGCCTCAGACAAATGGCTTGATCTCTTGCCCGAAGGTTTTGAAGAACGAGTCAGAGAAAGAGGTCTGATAGTAGAATGGGCACCTCAAAAGGAGGTGCTGTCACATAGTGCAGTGGGAGGGTTTTTTAGCCACGCCGGTTGGAACTCCGCCTTGGAAAGTTTATCTGAAGGTGTTCCAATGATATGTCGGCCATGTTTCGCAGACCACCATGTAAATGCAAGGCACATCACTCATGTGTGGAAGGTAGGCCTTGAAATGGATCTTGTGTTGGAGAGAGAAGGAATCGAGAGAGCTATAAGAAGAGTTATGCTGGAGAAAGAAGGTGAAGAAATGAGGCAGAGAGCAATTGATATGAAGCAAAAAATCATAACTTGTGTGCAAAAAGGTGGTTCTGCAGACAATTCCTTGAACGATTTGGTAGAGCTCATCTCGTCAAAGTCGAATGCCAAAAATGACACTGCCACCTTGATTGAGAGTTGAAGCTGGAGAATAATAAAATATTATGTTGTGTAGATCTAGAGAATAAAAGATGGCAATGGAGTCGTTTTGTACCACCTTCTATGGTAATATCTCAAATTATATATCATTTTCGTACTGTATTATTTTAAATTGTATCCTTCGGATCCATATTTGTATTAATTACTGGTTTCTATTTATGGTGCATATGGAGCAACATTTCAACAATTTTTTTTCTTTAGCACTACTCCATTTAACATTAGAACTCATAATTGATTCAATTATTACATTAAAATTATATCATTAAATTCTTAAATAAAATTTTCAAATAAGGTAGGTCCCTATGACATTGCTTTTCTTCTACACATTCCTTGCTTATCCTTTTACCATGTTTCCTTGCAACTCTGGTGGTGTATGTGCTCTCAAGTAGGACTCTTAGTCGAACGAGCTCGAGTCGAGTTCGAGTCGAACTTGAAAAATTTGTTTCTTAATCGAATTTTAAAAATTGGTCAAGTTCATCTCGTTTACGAAACAAGGCGAGCCTGAACGAGCCGAACCCGAGCCGAGCCCAAGTATTTGCACATAAACGAGTCGAGCTTGTCGAGTTTGAGCCGAATTTATAGGACTTATTTTTTAAACGAGTCTAAAAACTTATTCAAGTTCGGACTCGTTTAAAAAACGAACAGAACCTGAACGAGTCGAACTCGAACCAAACTCAAACCAAACTCGAGTAGTTCAATTTGATTAAGAGCCCTATTGTCGAGGATAGCTCCAAAGTCCAAAAGCATTCAAATCTCGGCCCCACAAGCTAAGGATTGATGGATCTGCAATGTAAACTGCCAAGTAATAGCAATTTTTGTTCAAAAAAAAAAGTAATAGCAATTAAGTTTTATTTTTTTTTTTTTTTATTTTTTGTTTTTTAATGCAATAACCTTTGACTTTTTAAACCCATAAATATAATAGTTTAAAAAATATTAAAATAATAAATGAAAAATAAGTACAATAAAAGAACAATATCAAATATGGTAAGTATAATAATAATAATTAACTTTGTCAAATAGTACAAGTTCAAAATTTTTTAACACAATTTTAGTTAGACCTATAACAAATAAGTTCATATTTATAATTTTTATGAGTAACGATATTACAATTGTGGGCATATTTACGATATTTTTGACAAAATTTAAATTATTTGTTGGTACGTTTTCACCATTTGTGGTAGATTTACAACAATTGAGCGTAATGATATCACAATTTTAAATGCATTTACGAGTTTAAAGAAAGAACATTTACGATTTCTTTGGTCAATATTACAATAATGAATAGTACATTTAGGAAAAAAGGGTCAAATTAACAGTAAATTAACAATTAATTCATTAAATTAACACAAAATTAATATTTAATTTTATCTAATTAATATTTAATTCATAAAATTAATATCAAAATTAATATTTAAATTCACCCAATTAATATTTAGTTCATCCAAAATTATAATCCAATAAACACTCATTTCATTAAATCGACAAGAATTTAACATTCAATTTTATTCATTCAATATTCAATTAATCAAAAATGACATTAAATTAAAATCCAAACTAAGGGGGAAAATGAGATTTTCCCTATATTTAAAGCAAAAAGAGCCTCCCGATGGAACCTAACTCCCAGCCCATCTTCTCAATCTTCAACGTCGTTTCCAACCTTGCTTGTAACCCTAACTCTAACCCTAGTCTCACCACTTTTCTTCTATTTTCTTTTAGTTAAGCCCATAAAGGGCAAAAATTTAATAACCAAAATATAAAGGTGAGAAAGACATTAAACTTGTCTCAAGATTCGGCCCCACAAGACCACGTTATTGTACCCGTTTTGTTTTTCTTGCTATTATAACTTAAAATCAATGTGGACTGCGATCATTTTTTATTTTTTTTTTGGGGTTCCCAAGCCACTTAACATTCAACCAAAGTGGACTGTTAATTTTCCAAGCCTAACATTCAACTAGAAATTCAACCTTTGTAGACCACTGATGTGCCTATCTCAGAGTTCGACCGTTAGAATATGCTTACATTTTTTTCGAACGCTGGGCAGCTAACATTGAAATTGAACAATATCTGAATGGGAGGGCTTCTCATCCGTTAATTTTTTTTTCATATTATTTAATTATTTTAATTCAAACTATTAAATTTATATCATCCATATATATATATATATATATATATAGTTAATAAACTTAGCCCGCTTATATTCACTAATTGTATTTCAACCTATTATATATACAATGATCAAAATTTTATTTCAGTTACGAAAATATTTCAAAATCAAAATAAAAATTAATAATTATTTTTAAAATATATCTCAAAATATTCGAGAAATATTGATAAAAATATATTAAAATATATCAAAAAAAACTCGAAATAATATATAGTAGCTTGGAACTTTGAAATTTCGCTTCAATTCCTATTTTGTTTCGATTTTTATTGACATATATCTATATAATAAAACAGGAGTGTGTTTGAATTTTATCGCAGTTATATTTTTTCCCTCAAAACAATCATCAATCACTTACCTCATCTATCATTCATTTGTCAGATTCAAACGTCAAATCACATCACTCATTTTCATTACATATTTAATCATTTATATATTTTTTCCCTAAAAATATTATACCACTCATTTCTATCATATATTTAATTATTTAATATTTAATTAATTTGTAGTTAATATATTTTGAAAAAATTTAATATAGTAACATCGATTTTTTGGACATTCAAATTTTATATTTTATCGTGCCTTCAGGCACGGGTTATAACTAATATATATATATATATATTTAATAGTTTAATTGAATGAATATAAATGATATAAAAAAGAGATTTAAGATGTGAGAATAATCTCACCCTATCTTTATTTCTTTGAAAATGAAACACATACTTTTTAAAAAAAAAACACTTCATTTGCTTCTAGATATCAATCAATCAAAAAGCAGTGGTCAGTGGGCATTCCACCATCCATATTTCTTGAAAATGAAATTGAAAAAAATAATCTTGATTTTGTTGTTATATCATATAACACGTCATCACCCATCCAAAATAATACTTTGGATTTCCACTTTCTACTCATATCTTATTTGAATTAAATTAAATTTCATCCTTATTTTTGTTTAGCTTTAGGCAATATACCAAAAAATAATGATCCCATTGAATTTGACTTCAAACCATGATCCAATATCTTATTTTGCCTGGTGATATTCCTATTGGAACCACCAAGTAATATGACTTAACACTCTTTATAATGTAAATATCAAAATTTTGTTTTAGTGAAGGATCCCACACAGCTTATAAAAAGCAATGTTTTTAAAACCGGAGAAATAATTGAAAAATGTTTTTAAATTTTAGCTACTGATTCATTCCGGTCAATTTTATAGGAAATAAAAGGGAAAAACTAGGAGTGTAACTCGGGGCGGTTGGGTGGGTTGAAAAGTAAATTCTAGTTCAACATTAGATATATAATCATCAGCCCTAACTCAATTTCAACTCAAGTATTGCTCAAGTTTAATACAGACGAAGTCGGATTGAATTCGAGTTACATAATTTGGGCTAATTTCGGTGCTAGAATTTGGTTTACATAATTCGAGCCAATTTTGAATTAGAATTCGAGTTTTATTCATTAAAATTTGAAATCAATTTATTGTTCTAAATCTGATACATACTACATATTATTTAACATAATGTCCATAGTATTTAAAGTATAAAAATCAATGTTTAACATAAAAATATAATAGACAATCGTTTGACATAAGACTGACTTTAGTGTTTTAACTTATAAGTTATATTATTAATTGATTTATATATTTATTTTTAAATATGTTCGGGTCAAGCCCAATTTAGAATTCGAATTGAACCCGATAAAATTTTCAAGTTGAGTACGATTTATATATTTGAGTTGGACCAGATATCCCAAGGCCTCAACTTGGGTACCGCACAAATTCAATTTGAGTTGATATTTTTTTGTCTAGACCTAACTCAAATATTAAAAATCTCAACAAAAACCCTGTTTTTTTTCTTAATTAAGTTCAGGTTAACCGGCCCAAATTACACCCTAGAAAAAAAAATCCATGACAGAAATGTAATCTTTATTTTATACTTTATACGAAAGTGTTAAAGCAACATTGTCAGACACTTATTTTCTTCCGTCGTGAGAAAGAAAGCATGAAGTTACAAATAATCAAATGTTGCTTTAGCGCCAGGTGAAGAAGGAACAACAATTTTATTTTGATAATACACAGTCAACAACGAGAAGAAAAGTGTGTGCCAGTGCCACTCTAATAAGGATCGCCAACCTTTGTCTCGATGGTTCAACAACCAATCTAGTTTTTTGTTTTTTGTTCCAAAGGTAGCTAACATTCAACCAATGCGACTGTTGATGAGCCTATCCCATAGTCCAACTACATTCAACCTGACATTCAACCATATTAACTAACTAACATCATTCCAAAGGCAGCTGACATTCAACCATATCTGTATTTCTTTGAAAAAAACAAAACACTTCATTTGGTTCCGCATATCATGGAATACGCATCAATCAAAAGGCAGTGGTCAGTGTGCATTCCACCATCCTTATTTCTTGAAAATGAAATTGAAAAAAAAAAGGATTAATTATGTTAGAGGTCCCCAAAGTATAAAGTTTGTCTTATTTTAATTTATAATATTTCAATTGAATCATTTTTGTCCCTGAAATATTTAATATTTTTTTATGTGGTCCCTCAAGTAAATAATATATAAATTGTTAATAATTTTTTATCATAAATTTATTACGTGATATCTAAACATGAGTAATAAATAATTTGGATAACGGTGAGAGAAAATAAGGAGAGAGAATAAAATAAATGTTCAAAATTTAAAAGAATGATAAAATAAAATAAAATCTTTGCATATTTGAAAATAAATAAACTGTCAATTAGTTATATATTATTTAAAGAACGATAATTAAGTAGCACTGAAAAAAAAATTGAATTGTGTATCTAATAACAAAAAATTTATGTATAAATGAACTTACTAGAATAAAAATATTATTAGTGAACTTTCTCTCAATTAAGCTTTAGAAATTGTAACCACACCTAATTTTTTTATATCTATATTAATTTTTGAGGGCCCCAATAATTTTTTGAAAAATTTGAAAGTCAATACAAAAATTTGGACTCAATTGAGTTAAATTATATTAAAGAAATTTATT